TCTTTGCCAACTGTGTAGTGACCCCTTGCATAGTTATTGGCTGCATCTTCCTTACCAGTAATCAATTGCTCTGGATGGAACAGTTGCCTATAAGTTCCAGTGCGGATCTCATCTGAAACATAGATATGTAAGAAATTAAAAACAGACAATAGAATAACCAGAAATTAATTGTCAACAAATAATTTTCAAACATGAATGTATTTAGATTCCTAATGTATCTTCTGTAACTACATTTTTATGTCACCACCACACATGTTGTAATCTCCAACTTTTGTGATGGCAGTCTGCAGTTGGTGTTTGGAGTTTGGTGTCTGTAACAAATGGCAGGTAGTGACATTTTGCTTGTTTTGCCTTGTTATAGAATATGATAGGCCCCTTTCTTAATTATGACACATACTCAAGACTTGAAACATGAAATGCGTAAATAATCAAAACTAGTTTTTTGGATCCTTTTCTTCCTGGAGAGAAAGTGGTCTTAGCACATAGATATACATGTATTAGATACATACCTATTACATTGGGTTCTAAATCTACCATGACCGCTCTTGGGACATGCTTTCCTGATCCTGTCTCACTGAAGAATGTATTGAAAGAGTCATCACCGCCTCCAATGGTTTTGTCACTTGGCATCTGACCATCTGGATGGATTCCATGCTCAAGGCAGTATAACTCCCAGCAAGAATTGCCCATTTGAACACCCGCTTGGCCAATGTGGACTGAAATGCATTCCCTCTAAAAGAAAAAGAAGTGAATTCAACCTTCAATATTTGGGATTCTTTTAAGCAGAAGTGTTTCATCGCATTGCTCTTTGATCCATGAAATGCATTCTTTTAGTACAGGGAAAGTATTTCTTGTGAATTCTCCTGCCTTGTTGCCTTGGATTTGGACACTCCCAGTTGATACAAATATTGTTATTTTGAACAAGCGCTCTTCATCATTGTTTGTTTTAACATCTAGCGATATATTGTCATATTTTTCTACAAGTTAATTCAAAATGTACAAACATACTAGCTAAATCTGAATTGGGAAGGTATCCCTTATTTATTAATATCTGTATTGGGATCATAAAATATTGGGTACACGCTAGGAAAGCTCCCAAAACTTCACTGATTTCGAAAGTAACAACTCTAGATATTGCCAACAATACCTCGAATTATTATACTGTTGTAAAGGCTATCTGTGAATTCTGTGGAATATCAACTTTTATAGAAGATAAAGATATTTTTGATCAAACAGATGCAAGCATATTAATCAAAACCTTGAAAAACAAATTATTTAATAAATATCAAGAACTTTTCTTTCAAAAAATCAATGTAGCTGAAAATATACCATCTAAAACCAGAGTGTATAGAACAGTAAAGAAAATGTATAAACAAGAGAAATACCTTAATATTAATAATGATTCCTACAGAAAGGCTATAACAAGGACTAGGATCTCATGTCATAACTTTCCTATAGAAATGGGAAGGAGATTCAAAATTGCAAAAGAAAAGCGATATTGCTATTTATGTGACTCCAAAGAAATTGGTGATGAGTACCATGTACTTTTCGAATGCAACTATGAAAAACTTATAAATATACGTAAAGACTTTATTTCTGGTATAAGACAGATTAAAGAACAATTTATACAATTTAATAACAAACAGCTATTTAGTTATCTACTTATGAGCCATGATAATGAACTAATGAATCCATGGGGTGAATTCCTAAACAAAATGAACCTTACTGTTGACACTCATAAAATACTGAGAAATAAAAATGATTTACTGAAATGGTTCCAAAAGAAAGGTGATGCCAAGTAAGCAAGCAATATGATTATCTCATTTATATACTGCTCATAAATATTATTATACCCTTTGTGTCTTTGTATGCATGTTTTTTGTAAACAACCATATATTATACCTTTATTTTATGTATGCATTGTTCCTTTATTGTAAATTACCAATACTCCAGAAGGAGATACGGAACAATAAAGTACTATCTTATCTTATCTTATCTTTAATTGGATTCTCCACATCATGCAATATTTCAAGTGCAATCACAATTGTTATTTTTTGAAGAAACTTTTAAAATAACACTTGTGTTTCAACGAACAAGTTAATATGTTCATGTGATTTTGATAAATAAAAGTAAATCTTTAGAACAGTCCAATAACAATTATAACATGTTTGGAGTTTGATGGTATTAAACCAAGTGAAAGATGTTCTAGAGTCTTTCAATTAAATATAAAACAAATTATTTTGAAATTTGTTTTATATGTCACCACAGTGACATCTGTAACAAAGCATACATTTTATGATCAAGAACCATGAAACCTAGCTGTTTTGACAGAAATAGAAAAAAAAAAAAAGTTTGCCAAGACCAAGGAGAGAGCTATATGTGGTATGCAAAATACCAGTGTTGCCAAATTTTGGATTGGTAAAGGCTATAGGGTCCTTACTATTACATTACTGCATATGGTATAGTTACATAGGGTACAAAGTTGAAGGTATTGATTGATTTATGGCACTTATTCATGGTTCATGGTTTTAACAGCTAAGGCCATAAGAAGTAGATTCTTTGTTGTGTCCCCTTGCTTGCACAAGTTTGAGTAAATCAGAAAAACAAACACATCCAAATAGCAATCCCAATGGTCTGAAAGTACCATCGCATTTTGTTTCATCTGAATCAGAAATGGCGGACAATTTGATGTGCGTCAACATTGACAGTGTTATTGTTGATTACTTTGGCATACATTGTGTTTTTTTTATTTTGATTACCTTTGAAATATAACGTTTCATAGCCATATTTAAATATATTGCATATGATGTACAGATATGTGCTTGTAATCACTGCAAATTGGTATTTCATCCCTTTTTATGCCCATAAAATGTATAAATTTCTTAAGCAAACACGTTTGTGATTTTTCTTGAGTTTGTGTTTGTTTTCCTTGTACCCTTGCATGATTTGGATTTTGCCAGGACACAAAACAAAGAATTTACTTCTTATGGCCTAAGCAGCTTTAAACCTTATCCTTA